CCTGTGGGGTGAGCCCTGTGGGGTGAGCCCTGTGGGGCGGGTGCTGTGGGGTCAGTGCTGTGGGGCGAGCCCTGTGGGGCGGGTGCTGTGGGGTGAGCCCTGTGGGGTGAGCCCTGTGGGGCGGGTGCTGTGGGGTCAGTGCTGTGGGGTGAGCCCTGTGGGGCGGGTGCTGTGGGGTGAGCCCTGTGGGGTGAGCCCTGTGGGGTCAGTGCTGTGGGGTGGGTGCTGCAGCTGTGCCTGCCCCAGCCTGGCCTGACCCTCCTGTCCCGCAGAGAGCCAACGCGCCTATCGATTCGTGCAAGGCAAGGACTGGGGCTTCAAGAAATTCATCAGGAGAGATTTCCTGCTGGATGAAGCCAACGGACTCCTTCCAGATGACAAACTCACTCTGTTCTGTGAGGTAAGGCAGCCTGTGCAGTGAAAGCACAGCACTTCCATTAGCTGAGGGCAGACCTGACCTCCTTTCTCATCCTTGCTTTTAAGGAGTCAGAGGTGTCAGAGCGATGCTGGATGTTTGTGTGACACTCGGATTTTATTTGTGTGTGTGTGGCTGGTGGCTTTGTCCTCTCTGTGATTCATCCCACTTCACTTCCATTTCTTTTCTGGCTACTTTGTGTTTGGTTTTTACCTGGGCTGATGATAGGAATCAGGCTAAGTTTGATTATCATTCCACTCCTGGTTTGGTGTTATCATCCATCTGTTTGTGCTCCCTAAGTCGAAGCTCACTTGGGATAATAAGCACCACTAGCTCTGTAGTGGGGACTGGCCTGTTTGTCACTTGCCTGCTGAATAAAAAAGAGTTTTCTTTATTTTCTGAAATGTGTCCATGCAGCCAACAAAAGGAAAAATACAAGAGAAAGGAATTTTACAGTAATCACAATTTTCCCTTCATTGTGTTTGTACTTTCCTACAACTGCTTACAGCATTATTATTTCACTGGTACTTATTTCAGGCCAGTTATTTGTAAAACCAGACATTTAAGTTTAGGAACCTTAAAGAGCAAATTTAAACTCTGATTTAATGTCTTCAGGGCTCCTTCTGTTTTACTTCCGTTGTCTTTTTAACTGCAAAATCCCTCCTGGAGCTGTGATTTTTGCCAGAAGACAGGTGGAACAAGTTGTTCTCCCTTTGGATCTCCTGCACTGTTTTTTTTTTTTTTTTTATGGGAATCTTTTCTTTTGTTCAGGAATGAAAGGGAAGCTTCAATCTAAGTTGTTCAACAAGGATTTGGTTTGGTTTTGGTTTTTTTTTTCAGTTTTACTTGGCCATTACAAGGCTGCACGTGTTTAAATGAACAAACACCTCAGGGATGTGTATTTTAAGCAGTAACATGAATTATTAGTGAAGGAGGGAGCCCTTCCTGAACACTTGGAGCAGTAAGGGAGGAGAGCAGGACAGAGCCCTGTGTGACACCTCTGTAGGTCTGGCAGTTCCTCTTTCCTTCACGCAAAAGAGCCAAAAAACCTCACACTTGTTGGGTGGAGCCCAAAAACGAACGTCTGAGAAGGGAATCTGTGAGACACAATGTACATAAACCCCAGATCCACAGTAGTCTCGGCAACTAGTCCTGATCAAGTCACTGCACCCTTTGCTGAATTATTCCCTTCAAAGCTCCAGTGGTTTGGATTGTTCTGGAGGAGGAACAGCCTCGCTCTTGGCTGCACCTGGCCTTGGGATCTGTTCTGTGGGGAATCTGAAGGTCGCTGATATCAGAAGGTTTTGCTGTCTGAAAGCAGTTTGCTGAGAACTTCCAGCACCTTGGTTTTTTGGTTGTTTTTTTTTTCTCCCTGCCTCCTTTTTCTCCTCTTTCTCCCTTTTCTCCCTGAGTTTATAACTCTCTTTGCATTCCAACCGTGCGCTCTCCTGATCCTTCCCTGCTGGCCACAGGTGCCAAATGATGCTGCTCCATCTGTGCTTCCAGCTCTGGATGGAGGAGCTCCCAAAGGAGTTGGGAACACTGGATGTGGAGGTGCCTTTCAAGTGCAGATATTTGTGATTGCTCCACACCACAAGGTTCCTTATTGAAGCTGGAAGGAAGAAGCCCTTTGCTCTCTGCTCATGGCCGGTGCTGAGCGTGGATAATTCTCCCTGGAAATGCTGTTGGGCCAGAGAATGATGGTCCTTGTCAAACATTTCAGACCTGACTTCATTTCCTTGTCAGTTTGGGGATTTTTCAGGCCCTTGTTTTGCAGGTGGGCTTGGCTGTTCATATCCCAACTGCATTGCTTTTTGCTGCTCAAATTACATTCCAGCAGCAGAGGTAAATATCCTTGCAGTCAGGCTCCCAGGAGGGAGGTGTTCCCGAAGTTCTGGCAGCAGCTCTTTTCTGAGCTGGGTAGTGTTGGTTCCCTTGCTGAGATGTTGAAAACAGCTTAAACAAATCCTTCTCTCTTTTAACATCTGAGGCTAGAATCCAGTAGAAAGCCATGGAATAACTGGCTTTATTTCATGTATGAAGAGGATTTATTTGTGGATTTGAGACACAGTTTTTGGGCTGCTCTGTGATCCCTGTTGGACTTCCAACAAGGGATCTGCATCTTAGAATTCCCTTTTTAATGCACCTGATGAGTTTTCACCCATCCTGGAGTCCACTTTGCTGCTGTGGATGTCACAGGGCAGGGTGATGATGCAGCTCATGGTGAGGAACTTTGGCTTCTCCACATGTGCTGTGGCTGGTCCGTGGTGTCCTCTGGCATCTGATACTTGTTTGGTTGTGAGTCTCGTGTGTTTTACACAAAATGTGCCCCCAGAGCCCCCCTGCAACTTTCTCAGGAGCTGGGGTGTGTTCTGACAGGTTTTCCCCTTTCCTTTTCCTCCCTCTCACTTCATGATTTCCTTCTCCACGCTGTGGAGCTTCCTCTGCTGTCCATTATTCTTTGGCCACTGGTTATTAATAGAAGTGGAATTTAACTTGGACTCGCCAGCAAATCCAGGGAATAGTCTCACGTCTCTTCCCTGTCAATCTCCCTGCTTTATTCTTTCTACAGCAGGGCTGGATTAGTCACTCTGATCTTTTCTAATTGGGCTCTGCCTGATTTACTGCAGCCCTGACAATGGCTGGGTGCTCAGTGGGCCCTCGGTGAAGGAGGTTCAGCAGCCACGCTGGTCCTGCCTCAGAGCAACTGATTAGGAATCTCTCTGCCTTCCCCAAATCCTCCTAATTATTTGACATAAAGCTGGATTTTCTTTTTTTTTTTTTTTTTAAACTTGCTGTTTAGGTGGGTTTTAATTGTATTTTATGGCGTGACAGGAGCAGGAGGACATTTCAGGAGTCAGCCACTGCCCTTGTGGCTCCTGTGCTGGGTTATGAAAACTCTGTGTGTACTTCATTTTCATGTGGCCTGTTGTCTGTTGCATTATTGATTGGGGAGGGTTTCACAGTGTTGCTAGAAGGGGAAAACTAGGTCAGGTGTGGTGTCTGGAAAAGCAGGAAAATAAGGTTCTGCTTCGTTAGGAAACCGTCTGACAAAGTTAGGGCTCAGCTGTTGGTTTGGGGTTGAGAAGGAAACCTGCTGGTGGCATTTAGGATTTGGGGTGGACACTCTGGTGCAGGGATCTCTGAACAGAGGAGCAGAGGTGCTTTAAAAATGGGTGTGTTTTTAACCCTGCAGTGACTGTGCTGGGTTTGCTCTGCGTCTCCCTGGCCACAAACCCCTCCTGGAGGGAGAGCCCTCTTTCCATGCGTGTCTTTGAGGGTGTTTTTGCCTTTGCCTCCCCTGCAGGTGAGTGTGGTGCAGGACTCAGTGAACATCTCTGGCCAGAACACCATGAACATGGTGAAGGTGCCCGAGTGCCGCCTGGCTGACGAGCTGGGCGGGCTCTGGGAGAACTCGCGGTTCACGGACTGCTGCCTCTGCGTGGCAGGCCAGGAGTTCAAGGGGCACAAAGCCATCCTGGCAGGTGGGTGTTTGGCCCTGGAATCGTGGGATGGGTTGGGATGGAAGGGAGCTTAAAGCTCAGCCACCCCCTGCCACGGGCAGGGACACCTTCCACTGGCCCAGGGTGCTCCAGCCTGGCCTTGGACACTCCCAGGGCTGGGGCAGCCACAGCTCCTCTGGGCACCCTGTGCCAGGGCCCACACAGGGAAGAATTCCTTCCCAATATCCCATCCACCCCTGCCCTCTGGCAGTGGGAACCCCCTGTCCCTTGTCCTGCCCCGTCACTACTCGTGTTCTGTTCCATAAAACACAGAAATCAGGAAACAGGCAACAAGATGGATTTTAACTCTGTGGGAGCCGGAGTTCTTAGCAGAACAGGAGCCAACAACCTGATGGGCAGTGGGGTTTTTGGAGTTCTTTCATCTTTAAAGGAGGCTCCTGCAGCTCCTTTATCAAAGAGCTGTGGTACCAGAGTGGTTTGTGAGCTGTTCCAGGTGGAGAGGAAATCCCCACTTGGTTTGTAATTGCCTGTCTGCTCCTTTGACAAGGACAGTGGGAGCGTTTTTTGTGGCTGTAGGGTACTCTAAAATATTCCTAAAGCATTCGTAAGGAGAACTTAGCACATTTCCAAGGAATACTTTCCTACCAAGCCAAGAAACACACCTTCCCACCCCGGGACTCTCCAGCCTTGCTGGAAGGACGTAACTCCTCCCCTCCCCAGCTGGAAGCTCTGGCAGCCCCAGTCCATGGGGAGAGTTCCTCAGTTGCTGAGGTGTTGCTGAGCCAGGCTCAGCCCCTCCTGAGGAGCAGAGGAGCCTTTCCAACTGTGTTTTGTTTTCCCTCACAGCGCGTTCCCCAGTGTTCAGCGCCATGTTTGAGCACGAGATGGAGGAGAGTAAAAAGGTAAGAGATCCTGAGGGGAGGAGAACCTCTCCAGCTGCAGAATGGCTCTCCAGTCAGCTCCTGCTCGGAGAACTTCCCTTGTGTTTGTGATTTTGGTCACCTTTTAACTGTCTTTCTCACATTAGATGCACCTCTCTGCTTCAGCTGCCCTGAAGGGAGGAAGACAGGGATCAAGGAGGCAATTGTACCTTTGTTCCTCTTGGGAAAGAGTCTGGGGTGGGACAGGGAGAAGTAGAGAAGGTGAAATACAACTCAGAATTTTTCTTACTCCACCCACATCTTTTCTTTTCTTTTTCTGTTTCTTTTTTTGCACTGCTCATTCTGAATAGTTTGCCTCTGAATCCTGAAGGAGTTTGGGGGAGAAGGAAGCCCTGGCAGGATCTTAATAAGCTTCGTTTTCCTGTTGCAGAATCGGGTTGAAATCAATGATGTGGAGCCGGAAGTTTTTAAGGAAATGATGTGTTTTATTTATACTGGGAAGGCACCAAATCTTGACAAAATGGCTGATGACTTGCTGGCAGCTGCTGACAAGGTAGAGTTGGGATTCTGGGGAGCTGACAGGACTGGGAATGATGTTTTTCCTTTCCACAGTGTGCTGGAGCTCCCTGCAGGAGCCCCTGTGGGGCTGGGCGGGTTCCTGGAGCTGGCTGTGGCTGACAGGTAACCCTGGGTGTTGTCTGAGGGCCCTCTCACAGAAGATCCACGTCAAACATCCCACAGCTGGATAAATCCAGCTCTTACAATAGCACAGGCAGCAGTTTCTGGGTCCACTGCTCACTTTGAAGCTTTTTTTAAGCTCTGTTCTCTCACCTGAGCTGGGGGTGAGAAGGTTTCCAGGTGGACCCACAGGGATATTTTTCCGTGTGGTTGTTCCCAGATCTCCAAAGGCTGCTCTGCCTGCTGCCAGCTCCAGGAGAGGCTCCAAAGTGATGCATGGCCAGGACTGGGAAGGTGGTGCTGTGCATTTGCCTTTGCCAGGGGCAATCCCAGAGGGAAGGGAGCACTGGAGGAAGCCCTGGTGTGGTCTCCAGGGAACTGGGGTGACTGGAAGCTGCTGGAAGTCCCTGTGGATTTGCCAGCTGGGCCTCCTTCCCTTTGCAGCAACTAAGATGGGAATTAATGCAAGATCCTTGGGCTGATTGTAATCATTGCCACATAGTTTATTCAATATTTAAAGGGTATTGATTGAGAGCTCACAACCACCTCTCTTACTTACTCTTGAGTAAATAAGAAAGAAGCAGCAGTACATTAAGGACAGAGTGGCTTTAATTTTGACTTTCCTGGCTTATAACATAGTCGTGGGTTTTTTTCCCTTTTCAACTCATTCTGTGTCTTTTAAAAGCAGAAATAAGAAAAAAAAATCTTTGGTGAAAGCACATAAAACATCCAATATTTACCCAGGAGACTGAAACAGCTTCTTCTGAGCTCCTCCGGTCTCTGGGGGGAAATATGTAATTAGACCAAAACCAAACCAAAGCTCGTTTTCTCAGCCCAGGAGATGCTGTGGCAGCACTGGGACAGTGCTGGTGGAAGGGTGGGGGTTTAGGTGTGATTAAGAAAGGGGGGAAGGGGAAATGTTGGTACCTGAGAGACCAGAATGGCCAATTTTGCCCACCAATGTAATTAGAAACTGAGCTATTTGCAGCCAAAAATAGAGCTAAAAAATATGTGCACGGAGGAGAATATTCCATTTACAGAAGGAGAATTTGCTGCATTTTAAGCCACTGGCAGACAATCCTCTAAACTAATGGCTTGGCCCAATAAACTGGTTTATTTCTCAGTCCAGATTAGAAAGTAAATTTGATTTGCTGTCGTGGTGGGAGCAAACTGTCCTGGCTCTGAGCTGGGCCTCGGCCGAGATCGCTGTGATCACAGTCCTACGTGACAAAACGTTTCCATAATTGAAAATTCCTCATTTGAATGTCATCATGAGGGGGTGAAACTCTCAGAGCATCAAGGCAGTTATGTCAGAGTGCTGCTGGGGTGGAAACATCCCCAGGGAGCTCGTCCTGTGCTCGGGCACAGCCCTCCTGGGCTCAAACCCCGTGTCCAGCCCTGCTGCCCCTTGCACAGGGGCTGCGGCTGCCGGGGGGCTTTGGGGCTGAGGGGCAGGAGCTGAGGCTGCACCTGCCCTGCTGTGACCGTGTCCTGGTGTGACCATGTCCCAGGTGTGACCGTGTCCCTGGTGTGACCATGTCCCCATAGGTGTCCCTGGTGTGATTGTGTCCCCATGGATGCCCCCTGTGTTGCAGTACGCCCTGGTGTGACAGTGTCCCCGGTGTGACAGTGTCCTGTGTTGCAGTACGCCCTGGAGCGGCTCAAGGTGATGTGTGAGGACGCTCTGTCAGTGTGACCATGCCCCCAGTGTGACCATGCCCCCAGTGTGACCGTGCCCCCAGTGTGACCATGCCCCCAGTGTGACCGTGCCTCCAGTGTGACCATGCCCCCTGTGTTGCAGTACGCCCTGGAGCGGCTCAAGGTGATGTGTGAGGACGCTCTGTGCAGTAACCTGTCCGTGGAGAACGCGGCCGAGATCCTCATCCTGGCTGACCTGCACAGCGCCGACCAGCTCAAGACCCAGGCCGTGGACTTCATCAACTAGTGAGTGACTGCTGGCACTGCCTGGCCTCAGAGCTCCTTCCTCCCTCAGCTCCTTGGCTGGGAAAGCCAGAGGCAAATGTTGGTTATTATCCCATGCAGGGAAGGGTCTCCTCTGGTACTTTGCTATTTTAAGTTCTCCCGGTGTGATCCTTCATTCTTCTGCCATCCCAGACGTGGCATTGCCTTGAGGACAGGTTGGTCTTGTCCTCTGGGACTGTCCAGAACTGTGAGCTGCTGTGGATCTTCCTGAAATCACAGGAACCTTTAGGTAGTTGAATATCAGGTAGTTCCTGGTATTGGAATCATCCTGGAGTGATAGAACAAGGGGAAATGGCTTCCCACTGCCAGAGGGCAGGGTTAGGTGGGATACTGGGGAGAAATCCCTCCCTGGGAGGGTGGGGAGGCCCTGGCACAGGTTGCCCAGAGAAGCTGTGGCTGCCCCTGGATCCCTGGAAGTGTCCAAGGCCAGGTTGGACGGGGCTTGGAACAACCTGGGCTGGTGGAAGGTGTCCCTGCCCGTGGTAGGGGTGGCACTGGATGGGCTTTAAAGACCCTTCCAGCCCAAACCATTCCATAATTCTGCACTGAGGGTCTGGTTACAGCTCCTCATCCACAGTAGATGTGAAGTGACTGCTGACTGCTTTGATATCTGGAGGCATTTGCAGTCCTGTTGATCAGTTAACAGGGTTTTTCTCAGCACTCTCTGTGTAGCTCTAAAACACTCCAGTGCTGAGGAGTCAGGGTGGGTGAGCACTGTGTTCCTCTGTCCCCACCTGGCATCACAGCTGGGCTGTTCCTCCTTCAGCTGAAGGACTGCCCAGCCTAAAATTGCTCCAGCAGAGCCAGACCTTGGAATCTCCAAAGGTCGACCCCGATCTCCTGAAGCAGGAGCTGAAAACCTCGGGTGGCAAACTTTGTTCAGTGGAAGGGATCTTTAGCTGGTGTTTGACCCCCCGTGGGTAACTCGGGCCTGTTCTCTCTTCTCCGTTGCAGCCACGCCTCGGATGTCATGGAGACGTCGGGCTGGAAGTCCATGGTGGTGTCCCACCCCCACCTGGTGGCCGAGGCCTATCGCTCCTTGGCCTCGGCACAGTGTCCCTTCCTGGGGCCGCCCCGGAAGCGACTGAAGCAATCCTAAAGCCCTGCCCCACACCTCACCCCATGTGTTTTTTTTTTCCTGGAAGCGGCTCCAGCTGGGGCCGCCTTGAAACCTTGACCACCAGGTAGACAGCGAAATCTGTGGAGCTTTTACTCTGTTGTTGGGGGGAAGAGGCTGCTCCGTGACATCCAGACTTTTTCAAACAGCACCAAGTAACTTTGGGAGAGGGGGGAGGGTGGGGGCTCTGGGGCTGTTCAACCTTCTGAATCCCTGTCGCTGCGTCGTCTGTGTGTTCCCTTCCACCTGGCTGAAGTCAGTTGAGCCCCGGGTCGGGATCAGGCCCCGGCCTAAACGGGGCTGACCCCGGCGTTGGCACCGGGCAAACCAACGTCTCTGCGTCTGGCAGCACAGAACAAACCGGGGATGCCTGGAGCAGGAGGACATTTGGGCTTTGGAGAACATTGGAGAGTGAAAAAAAAACCAACAACGAGGAAAAAAGGATTTCCCTGAGGTTTTGGAAAAGGAATTAATTACCTGATGGGAGCTCCAGTAGTATTTATGTCAAAAGTTAAACGAGTCCTTCCAGCTGAGCTAAAAACTGGACGTTTGTGCAACTCCCTATTGCCATCCAGCAACAAGAAGATCAGTTTTCTCTGTTAGTAGCACTTGTATGTTATTGCAAAAAAAAAAAAAAAGAAACAAAGGATAACCCCCCTCCCTTTTCTATAAATGTCAGGTTGGAGTGCAGGGGGCAGTGAGAGGCTGTGCTTTGAAAGGACTGGGAAGCCCTTTGCCTGAGGAGAGCAACGGTTTCTGTTTTAAATACCGTGGGAGATGTTTTTTGGCATTTTTCCCTGCTTTTTTTTTCTCCCCCCTCCTCCCCCTTTTTTTAAGAAAAAAAAAAAACAACAACAACAAAAAAAAGGATAAATTTTATTGTTGATGAATGCTGCGTCTGAAGTCCTGAGTTGCTAAAATGATTCTTAACAACTGTTTGTACCTGACTTGCCGACTGTATAGGAGCCAGTCCTGTTCCTTTCTATTAGTCACTTCTTACAGGAAAAGATGTTTCAAAATAGCTGGTAACTTTTTTTTTTTTCTTTTTGAAAATATAAATAATTACTATTTTGTACTGTGTGGTATCTGTTGCCTTTTTTTTCCCAACCCCCCATCCCTCCTGTCTCCTTTTTCAGCCTTCCCGGTTCCAAACCGTCTCTCCAAAGGTTCCTTTGCAGTCCTGCTGCCATGTGCTGACAGTGACAAGCTGTTCCTGGAGCCCAGAGCAGATTTACTGGGAATGCTGCAACACAAACGTGTCGTTTCTCATTGCAGGTGATCCCAAACCACAGCAGAGCTTTGCTTTCAGTGCGACCCCGACCCCGAGCGTGGCCCTTCCTTCCCCTGCTCCTGCCTGCAGGTGAGGAGGGGCAGCAGCACCAGCACCATCTGTCTGGTGGCACTGGAGTGCAGGGCAGGATTTCTGGGCCAGCCATCAGCCCCCAGATCTCCTGGGAGGGGAGGTGGGAGCAGTGCCAGGAGCTCCAGCTGACCTGGAAGCGGGCAGGTTGGGCACGGCGTGGATTCCAGGGAATGGCTGGGTGTGTTGTCTGGGAACTGGAGCAGGGAGCTGCTGTCCCTGATTTTCATGCTGGGAACACGCTTTCTGTCCCAGCCCTTGTGGGAAGGAGAATTCCATTTGTGTTTAATCAGGTTGCTCTTCCTGATGTCAAACAGTGGCTCAGGAGAGGGTTCTGGAGCACCCTGGGCTGGTGGGAGGTGTCCCTGCCCCTGGCAGGGGGTGGCACTGGGTGGGCTTTGAGGTCCCTTCCCACCCAGCCCATTCCAGGGTCCCCGTTGCAGGTGAATTGATGATTCCTTTGGCAGCTTGCCTTGTCTGTGTGTTTGGCTCTCACTGTCAGCGAGGCCCATCTGGCTCCCAGACATCAGAGCAGGAGCACCCTCCTCGTGAGCACCCTGCTCCCCACAGCCGTGGGATGCAGTCCCAGTGCTCCCAGGCCGTGCCACGTGCTGGTGCTGCAGAGCTGCCAGGGCAGAGGAGCAGTTGGAGACCCGAATTCCACGGGGAGCTGGGATGTTTATCCAAGCAGCATTTCGGGGACACGTTCTCCCAGGTCTGAACCGCAGCCCAGCCACCCCAGCTCCAGATTCACACTGAGCTTGGACCTTTGTGCTCCTGCTTTTCCTTCCTCCCCTTCCCTCCCTGGCAGATGTTCCCGGGGCCGTGTTTGATGTGCCTCCTCCTGCCCATTAGCTCCGTGCTCCTGCTTGCTCTGCTCACTTGGCTGCTGACCTGGGAGGGCCTCGGCCTTCCCTGGGCTCTGGGAACAAGGAGCACGTTCTCCCTGGATCCCTGACCCCATTCTCCCTGGATCCCTGACCCCATTCTCCCTGGATCCCTGACCCCTGTTCTCCCTGGATCCCTGACCCCTGTTCTCCCTGGATCCCTGACCCCGTTCTCCCTGGATCCCTGACCCCGTTCTCCCTGGATCCCTGACCCCGTTCTCCCTGGATCCCTGACCCCGTTCTCCCTGGATCCCTGCCCCTGTTCTCCCTGGATCCCTGACCCCGTTCTCCCTGGATCCCTGACCCCTGTTCTCCCTGGATCCCTGACCCTGTTCTTCCTGGATCCCTGACCCCGTGGATCCCCTGCCCCGCTCCCAGGTTGACCCAGCTCGCTCCCTCCATCCAAACATTTCCTTTCTGGCCAAAAGATTTGCCTCCTGCCTGTCCCTTGGGCTTTGTTATCACAGGCTCGGGTTCTTTTCTCGGGGATTTTTCTTGCTGTGGGAGTTTTTCCAGATGAAAGGAGGCGGCTTGTCTGCTCCTGAGCGAGCAAACAGCGCGTGGGGAGCAGCTGCCGGGCTTTGAGCCGCTCCTGCCTTTGTTCTGCCTCTCGAGCTGTGCTCAGGACACCAGACCAGCTCTCCTTTTTGCTTTGTTATTTGCTTTCCTCCCCACACACACACACACACACACTCTTCCTTGAAGGAGCCGAAGATTTTTTTATTATTTTATTTTTTTTCCCCCACTTCACTTCAGGAGGTTTCTCGACTTCCTGCAATTTATTTTTTTGCTGAAATAATTCTCCTGCTCGCCCAGACAGTTTTTCCTCCTCTCCTGCCTCTCACTTGTGTCACAGAATCACTTAACTCATTAATTTCTAATGATTTATTTTTTTTTTTAGTTAATCTAATCTGAAGACATTTAATTATAGAGGGTGGTTTTTTGTTGGGGTTGTTTTTTTGTTTTGTTTCCTGACCTGCTGCCCACTTGGCTCTTTGGCTGCCACTCCAAGCACAAGCTGCAGGAAATTTGGCCGTGGCAATTCCACCTTCTTGTGTGTGTTATATTTAAATTTGATTTAAAACCACGCTGGATGCACAGAAAAGGGACAGGAAGACAACAGGTAAAAGAAAGTGGGAGAGGGCAGGGAAAAATAAGAAAAAAGCACATTAAATTGGGCAAATAAATTGCAGTGGCCTGGAAAGCTTTTGGAAAATAAATATGATAAATAAGGCAGGAGTGGTTCAGTAGGATTTAGCCTTTTTGAAGTTGTTGGGTGAAGCGTGGGCAGGAAAATTCAGCTGAGTTTTGGGTTGGTTTGAATTTGGATTTTGCATCTCGTTCCTGCTCGATACATTAGACTTTGTCTCTGGGACTGAATTATTAAAATCACTTGAGGAAATGTGTTAATTGACGGGGTAGATTGGGAAGGGATGGGAGAGAGGATTGCAATTATTCCATCAAATTATGAAAAATCACAGGCGGGAGAGGGATGAAATGTAGGGCCCCTCTTTGAATAATTGAAAGCCACTGATGGCAGAAAAGGAAAGTCGAGGGTTTAACGGAGCTGGTACAGGATGAGCTGGGTGGGAGCTGGAACTGCTCCCTCTGGAGCAGGAACAGTGGCCTGGCTTCCCCTGGAGTGTCCAGTCCCGGTGCAGGGATGGGACTCGGGGCTCTGCCACCGGGAAACCGGGCAGAGATTGAGGGAAAAACGTTGGATCTGCCCTGGGAGCAGAGCTGAGGCCGAGAACCTCCGGGGGTTTGTCCCCAGCTGAGCCTGGAAAGGGCCGGAGGCTGCACAGGCAGGGGCAGGAGAATGAGAAAGAATGGAATAGAATTAGGATAGGATAGAACAGAACTAAAGTAGATTAAAGAGAATGGAGGTGGAAGAGGACAGGATAGAATAAGAGGGAATAGGATAGAAAAGAATAAAACAGAATAGAATCAGAATAGAATAGAATTAAGATAATTCTATTCTATCTTAATTCTATTCCATTCTAAGATAGAATAGAATAGAATTCAGATGGAACAGAGCAATGGAAGGTGTTTCTAAGGGTGAAACTGGATGGGATTCTGGGGTTCCAGGGACAGGTAATACAGACAGTAACACTTGATTTTTCCAGGGCTCTGTGTTTATTTTCAAAACCCCACAAATCAGCCCCAAATCCCAACCCTCTCCCAGCTCTCGGTGTCTCGCCAGGAATCCTGCTCAGAGGTTTCCTGGGGACAGGGGGTTTGGAGCAGTTTGGCTGCTCACAGGTCCCATGGAAGCCATTCCCAGGCTGGGGCTTCATTTTCATTCCCAATTTGTTATCGTGGGATATTTGGGGACATTTGCTCTGCCACTCCCTCTGCTCCTGCTGTTCTTGGCACGGATCAGGGCGGGGGAACTGCCAAGAGAAAATTGGGCCAGTACCTTGTTTGCAGAGGCTCATTGGACACTGTGGAGTCACATCTTGTGGTCAGAGAGTCCTGAGCCACTCCAAGAGCTGCTTCCACCTCTTTTCCAAGCTTCATTCCCAAAATAGGAATAAAATCTAAAAGAAAAAATAATCCCAGGAATGCCAAACCCGCCCTTTTGCTCATAAAAGTGGGGAGCTGCTCCTCCTGAGACCTGTGGTGCCCTGGGGCTGGAAGAGCCCTCTCCCAACGGGATGGAGAGGGATGTTTGTCCAAAATTCCCTTCCCTGGACACAAACAACCCCGTGGGACACGAGCAGAGCTCAGAAAGGAGGAGTTTGCACCCAAGGGTGGCCGTGGGGACATTTGTGCCATCGGCACCTTCCCCACGAGTGTGTCCTTGTGGTCTCAGAGAGAAACTCCTTAGGATGGACCCAAACTCGGGTTTACTGGGGTAGGGCTTGTCTTGGACCCCAGCTCTGGTTTAAATAGGGCTTGTCTTGGACCCCAGCTCTGGTTTAAATAGGGCTTGTCTTGGACCCCAGCTCTGGTTTAAATAGGGCTCAATTCTGA